TGTGCACAGAGAACCAGTTCCCACATGGCTGATCATGGTTCAAACCTTGGCCCAGCATTCTGAAAAACACAGTGGGTGCATGTGCATGTATGCCCAAAATTCCTGACTGGATAAAGAAATGGAGAAAAAAGTATTGCACTGTAACCACACCCCTAATGGGGTGCTTTCTCTCTCACTGGTAAGTACACACACACTTTGGTAATAAAGAAAAAATGAATTAACAGCTTAAGGTAGAATTTCACTGTGTTCCCCATTAACTAAGTAAAAGAGTAACTTTCTGTGGTCCTGAAAAGTCATTAAAATTAGAAACACAGACTGTGTGTGTGTAACTGCTCTATTTTACAATATTATTACACTTTATATTTACTATTATATTTACACAATGTTAAGAAATGTCTTAGTGGTTTAAATGATCGTATAGTATAAAAGTTATGGCAAATGTTGCTTCTACTTTGAATTTGACCCCTTCATGTTTTAACCAGAAACAATATTTGAATTAAATCCATATTAAATACATGTAACTTGACACTATGCTAGACGCTTCTAAAATATAGGGTTTTTTTGGGAGAGGGTTAGAAATAAAAAATATGATTCAATCAAGGTCTAGATATTGAGCACCTATTAAGTGCTCTGGTTTAGGCTGGAGGCTAGGTGACAAAAGCAGTTCATATTTCCCACTCTGGTCTGCCCTTTTCTGGACATCCTCCAAACCATGGGAACTTCTATGATTGGGATTCCTCAGTCTCTGCTCATATAGCTGATATATTTCTGCCTTTCTAATTAATACTGGGGAAAACAAAATCTATAATTCAGTTAGACACAACGTCCTTCAATTTTGCTGAAACACCAAATAGCTTCTAGAGCAGTGGAATTATGTTTGTTCTTTAATGTAAAAGGTAAAAAAAAAAAGGCAGATTCAGAAGTAAAACATCAACTATGAAGGAACAGAACACCAAGTAAAACTAATTTAAGGGCTCTACCAATGTTTATAAATGGATAATTTTAATTTGACAGCTACATTTCTATTAGCGTTGAGAGAATGCTTTATTAGCAATGTATACCATAAAAATGGTAACTTTTAAAGAATGTAGCTCTGCTCACTGAAATTCTGCCACCTCAGGCCCAGCAGACAGCATAATGGTTATGTTGCTAGACTCCCACATGGTCGACTGTGGTTTGAGTCCTGGACCCAGTGGCTTCAAACTCATGCCAGACACACATGCATACATGCCCAAAATCCTGACAGAAGACTAAGACTGGAGGAGAACAGATTGTGGCATGGCCATCACCCCGGGGAAATGATTTCTCACTTCCTGTCTTTCCGGGGAGTGCACATGCCCTATTGCAAAAATCTCTTTCTTAAAAAAAGAAAGAAATCCTGTGACCTAAACATATCAGTAAAATTAGAATGAAAGTCTTCAGGAACTACTATAGAAATGGTTTTTTTTTTTTTTTCCTGTTAAAATTATGACCCTTTTTGCATCCAAGTTAATTGTTAATTAGGAAACTGGTTAGTTAAGCTTGGACAAATCTGTCTTCCTCATCATTAAAATAAGAACAAAAATATTTTCTGCACAGGGTTTTTGTAAATAAGGTAATATGTCAAAGTGCTTTATAAAGTGTAAGCGGCTATACAAATGTCAGGTAATGTTTTCACTTCCCAATGATGTTATAAATTTCCACGAGACTAGGATTATGTTTCATATCTAGTCTAAGAACATTTTTATTTTTATTAGCCTAGTTTGAATATACCTATACCTATTTGATCACAACAGTATTTTATTATATATGTTATTTATTGTGGGTTCCAATAATTCAGGCTAGATGTCCCTCAGTTAATGTGAATTAAAAAGTCTGGTATACATTTTAGTTTACATTTTAAAAATAAATAACTTTAAAGAACTTCGTTTTTTTGTGTGTGTGTGTGGGGGGAGGTTTTTGCTATAGGGCGTGTGCGCTCGCCAGACAGACAGACAGAGACAGAGAGACAGAAAGCGAGAAATCACCCCCCAGGGGAGATGGTCACGCCGCAATCCCTTCTCCTCCATTCTCCTCTCGGGATCTTGGGCACGCACGCACACGCGCCCGGCATGAGTTTTAAGCCACCGGGTCCGGGACGCGAACCGCGGTCGACTACGTGGGAGTCCAGCGACATAGCCATTACGCTAACTGCTGGTTCCCAAGAACTTCGGGTTTTCAAGTATGATTTTCTTAAATACTAAAGACTTGTAATATGTGATGATTTAATAGTTAAGGCATTCTCTGAAATCAGAAATATAAAGTATTTCATTCTAGCCAAAACAAACACTAATAATATAAACCAGCTTACTAACTATAATCTATATCAAATAAAAGGTGACATATTCATTACTTCCTGATCTCTAAAAATGTAATTAATATTTGGTTCATCCACATTACACATGATGACTATACTTCAGTGAAACCAAGAGGTATAGATAAATTCCCATGTCAGATTCAACAATATTAACATCAGGCATGGCCATAAACAAAGTATTAATACTGTCTAGTTTTTAAAAGAATAATAGATTATAATACTCTCTAGTAATAAATCCTAAAGCAAAATCTTAAGTTAAGCAAAAAGAACAGCCTCTGTCAGGTTAGAATTTCACAAAATCGAAAATATAAATGTTCATGCTCCACTGTGATGGCCGAATTTTCAGTGCACTGACACTCATTCTTTAAAAACATCCCAGAAGGGGACCAGCAATTAGCGTAATGGCTATGTCGCTGGACTCCCATGTAGTCGACTGCAGTTCACATCCTGGACCCGGTGGCTCAAAACTCACACCTGGCACGTGTGCATGTGTGCCCAAGATCCTGAGAGGAGAATGGAGGAGAAGGGATTGCGGTGTGGCCATACCTCCCGGGGGGTGATTTCTCGCTTTCTGTCTCTCTGTCTCTGTCTGTCTGTCTGGCGAGCACGGGCTCCCTATAGCAAAACAAAACAAAACAAAACAAAACAAAACAAAACAAAACAAAACAAAACAAAACAAAACAAAACAACCTATAGCAAAACAAAACAAAACAAAACAAAACAAAACAAAACAAAACAAAACAAAAAACTCTCAAAAAAAAAATCCAAGAAGCTCTAAAGGCAACTAGTCAAATTAGTACTTTCTAACAAACAGGATATCACATCCAGACACATTATAGTTATACCTTGTTGCTTCTGACATAGAAGACAGGTTGTCTTTGTCCTCACTCTCAAGATTACAGCAAGACACTCAACAAGTCTTAGCTCTAAAAGCTTCTATTCAAACTCTTGCTTAACCATTATGGTTTCACTTTTTTTTTTCTAATAAGCTATTAGTGGAAAGTACAAAACAACAACAAGAAACACAAACAATAGTCCAAGTCTTTTGCTCAGGAAATTATGAAACAGGGCCTTCCAAGTGGGGCAAATTGGTACACAAGAGTACCAAACACAGAAATGAAAGAATAAAGATCTTTATTTATATCAGCCCGAAGAAAATGGGAGATTCTTGATTGAAAACTAATACATCATTTCACATGGCAGCAGAATGCCTGGAATGTTAACAAAAAGTCCTGAAAGGCTTAGCAGTTTATGAATATGAATGTCTCCTTAACTTAACTGGACTTAGTAATTCTAAATACAATAGTATTTACTAGCATTCTCTCTTTTTAGCAAATATAAATATGTGATCATAACTGATTTTATTTTTTCCAGTTTTTTCTTTGGTTAAATCTGGGGATTTAGTCAAAGAATTTTTTTTTTTTTGGAGAGGTTTTGTTTGTTTGTTTTTCTATAAGGCGCATGCACTCCCCAGAAAGAGAGAGACAGAGAAATAGCGAGAAATCACCCCCCCAGGGGGTTGGCCACGCCACAATCTCTTCTCCTTCATTCTCCTCTCGGGATCTTAGGCATACATGCACAGGCGCCCGGTGTGAGTTTAAGCCACCAGATCCAGGACTCGAACCATGGTCGGCTACATGGGAGTTCAGCAACATAGCCATTACGCTAAGGGCTGGTCCCAAAGAAATTTTTTTAAAACTGGATTTTCCTTCATTGTTTTTTACTTGAGATTTTCAAATCTAGGTTAAATATTAATTTTATTAACACAACACTAGGCTGGAATTCTGTTGATAGAGGCTATTATGGTTTTGTTAAATATTTTGTTTCATTTTTATACTCTAATTTGTATAATACTCATGAAGATCACTGGGCGTGAAATGGAAGGAGTAGATGATTAAAAGTGCTCATTGTCACTCATTTAACAGAGAGAGCAAAAGCTGAACCTATGGCATACAATCCTTGAATAGAGATGGGACCATGCTTAAAGGAAAGCATTCAAATAAATGTTTATTGTGAACCCAGAGCAGAAGGGAAAAATACTAGTTTTTTTTTTTTTTTTTTTTTTTTTTTTTAGGTTCTACATGTAAAATCTCCAAGAGTTTAAATTAACATGATGAGTTCAATTCTGGGATCTTAAATAGTATGATCACGCCCAGTGATGTTAAACAGCAGTGTGAGCCCAATAAACTGACTCCAGTTGGTAGCTTTGATCAGGTAGGGTATTGCTCCCAATTCGAAATTGCTTTTTCTGAATTGAATACTTCCCAAACTGCAGTCAATCAAAGGAATTTGGGAGTATGTTTTTGATAGGGTATGTTTTTCCAATAGCTACAGGACTTAAGTTTTTCATAGTGATATTATCTTCTAAACTGTAGAATTCTACTGAGAAGTAATCCCATGAGGAGAATCTTTCTTGTAGTATGGCTAGAACACTTCCTTGGTGGCAATTCTCCAACTTTGTGATGCAATTTTTGTTAATTCTATTGATGGTTCCTTCTAAGCAAGAGAAGTAATGGAGTAAAACCAAATGGCTCATATGCATTTCATTCTGCAATAAAAGTCTAATCTTGAGGTTAAAAGGAAACAATTAAAGAGCAAACAGATATACAAAGAGTCACTCTAATCATCTCCACACCCAGAGTAGGTCTAACTAGACACCTATCCACACTAAATAGTCTTAAACCATGAACCCTATGGGGTCAGTGAAGATCTGGTAGAATTGGGAGGGGGGTGGCGGAAAGGGCAAAGCAACTCTGTTCTTCCTTTTACCCCAGGTCCAGTATAGGCCTTTATCGTATATACCACCGAAATACCACCCCAAAGTATTCTTCCTCCTCCATTGAAGTCCCTTGCTCCACTTTGGTTTATCATGTGAACAGGACATCAGATGAGGTTTTCTTGTTTCCCTTTTTTTTTTTTTTTTTTTTTACTTAAAGACAGGGTCTCCCTCTTTTGCAATCTGCCTCAGTCTCTCAAGTTGTTGGGACTACAAGTGCGTGACACTGTGCCTTGCCTTTCAGCTGGATCAGGAATTGAACCTAGGCCTCCCACATGGTCCCAGTCTGCCAAGCCGCAACATCTTTACAGCGTGTGCCACTGCACCTGAGCCAAGATGAACATTTTAAATGATCCATTATCTTCTACTCCAAGTGATATGCAAAATTGGGAAGGGAAAACAAAAAGTATCTAACAAAACTGTAACTTCTGAGACAAAATTCCACCCCAGCATTTTACTGATATGATTAATATTTAACTTGCATATGAAAATGTCAGCATTTTAAAGTACATGATGTGATTTAATTTTGAGGAGTTTCTTCTCACATTTGCTGAATTCCTAGCATATCATATCTAGCTAAACCCAAAAAAAAGGTTAATAGTAACTCCAACTCTACATTTTTACTTTAAAAAAAAACCTTAAAATGCTAATCAACTCCACTGTGCTAAGAAATAGTAGGTCCAGCTAGACTAAAATGTCATTCATAGATGGTTCAGCCTTTCAGAAGCCTTTGTTAACATCCTAGGCATTCTGCTGCCACGTGAAATGATGTGCTAGTCTTGAATCAAGAATCTCCCTTTTTCTTCAGGCTGACATGTATAATGAACTGGGGCTGACATAAATAATGATCTTTGTTCTTTCAGTTTGCTTTCTGGTGTTTGGTACTCCTATGCACCATTTACTCTAGTTGGGAGAACCCATTCCATAATACATCCAGAAAAATGGTATAAAATCTTAGAGGAGACTCTCAAACCATAGTGAAGAAAAGCTTTTATTTTTCTGCTTTCTTTTTTAATAACTTTTATCAATACTGCACTTAAACAATAAAATCCTTGAAAATAAACTGTAAAAAAAACTCTATTTGCCAAAATGGTATACCAAACCTTAAAGCAATAACTTTACTGCACTTCCCCATTCTTCTTCCTTTTAGGGAATCAGCAGAATCTTTTAGGATATTATTATGCTGCTTCTTGGCATCCCTTCTGTTAGAAAATCACCTTCACTATCACACTCACCCCCATCTCCCGAAATCCTACCATTCTTGAAGGCCTGACTAAAATGCTATTATTTTCCAATTCCTGTAACTAAGTGTTTTTTAACCAAGGTCAATTTTGCCCCCCCAGGGGACAGTTGGTAATTTCTGGAGATACACATGTTCATCACAATTGGGGGAGGAGAGAATGCTACTGGAATCTAGTGAATAGAAACCAGAGATGTTGCTAACCATCTTACAGTTCACAGGACAGCCACAAACAACAGAGTGCAGAATGTTTAGAAACTCAGCTCTAACTGGATGTGGTCTCTCCTTTCTCTGAACTCCTGCAGCACTGTGATTTCTTTCTTTTATAGTATTATGACACTGATAACAATACATCTATCTTTCTAAATAACAATACACCGAAGTAGCAAACTGCCAATTATTTACACCAATATGGAGGAGCTATGATGTAGTGAATAAAACCAGAACAGGGCTATAACACTGACCTGGGTTTCTATTGTACTGCTGCTACACAGTAAAAGGAGTCCTTCAAAGCACTTGATGGTAGGTCCCTCTGGTCGGTAAAGAAATCAGTATGACAGCAGTGTATAAAGACTCTGGCCAGGCTGTCAAGCTTACACTAAGATTACTGCCAATGGGAGGGTAAAAGGTGAGGAAATAATCCTGGGAACCACATAGATAAACAGGTGTTGGGCAAGAGACCAGTAACCCATATTGAAATGTTAAGAAATAAGTGAGTAATTATGAAAAGCAATTCTTAGAGCATTCATAAATTTTCCCTGTCAGTTAAAAGCAACCAATTAACAATGATCACGGTCTTCCTAAGTTCTATTTTTTCTAACTTAGATAAAATACTCTTCTAAATATAATAGAGAAACATTTCTCAAATCACCTTTACCTGTCAAAGTTTGATCTTCAATCTAAATCTGGGCCCAGCAGACTTCAGAGCTCCATTACTCATCCTATAGGATTCAAAATTCATCACCTTTTTTTTTTAAGGTAAATAGTGAGCAATGACAAGCATAAATTTTACTAGCCTTGGATTACAAATTCCCATATACATCAATTCAATGTTATTTGATGTAAGGAAAAAAAATAGTATATATATAGTATACTTTGTTCTAAAATTGGCCAGGGAGTTCCTTGTAATATTTTCAGAAATTCAGCTGATTGGATATTTTATTTCAAGGCCCACACCTTCATTTGTGTATTCTGCTTACAAAAATGAAAGCCAAACAAAAAATTACAGAGAGCTTGACCCATTACTATAAAAATGAGTAATTATTGGTATTAGTAATAATTTGATTTTTAGTATAATCAACAAAAATGTTGACTTGTGACATTAAAAAAAGAAATAAACGTACTCATTCCTATGGTAAACAAATGAATTAAAAATAATTCAGATCATAAAATGAAATAAGCTCAGAAATAATTCAGAAATTAAAATGTTGAAAAATAGCTTTAAAAGTTATCCATTTGCGGGACCAGCAGTTGGCGTAATGGCTATGTCGCTGGACTCCCATGTAGCTGACTGCAGTTCCAGTCCTGGACCCGGTGGCTTAAACTCACGCTGGGCATGTGTGCCTACATGCCCAAGATCCCAAGAGGAGAATGGAAGAGAAGGGATTGCAGTATAGCCATCCCCCCATGGGGGGGTGATTTCTTACTTCCTATCTCTGTTTCTCTCTCTCTCTGTCTTCCTGGCGAGCGCACACGCCCTATAGCAAAAACGTCTCAAAAAAAAGTTATCCATTTGCCAAATCGGCTGAGACAGTCGGCCCTTTATGCGTATGGCATGAATTTCATTCTATTTACCTCCTATAGGTATCTAAATTAATAATGACAATAAAACTGGCAATATTTTATGAGTTGGTTAGTTCTTTCTAAAGATAATAAAACTAAAACTAAACATGTACAATTATGTCACCTGACCAGTTAGTGTCATACAGAGAACTAGAGCATAATGGTAAAGATGCAATCACTACACAGAACTTGTTTAAACTTGAAGCTGGCTTACAACTGAAGAAGAGAGATTCTGGAAGCAATACACATCTCAGTCACCTACATATGTCTGTTCCCTCCTCCAAAGACTACACTGCAAGTGAAACACCATCAACAAAACATAGGCTAGACTACAATCTGAACAGTGACTTTATAAAATAACAGACGCACCTAGACATAAGCAAATAAATGAGTTTTCATCTTATTCTGGTATGCTAAAGGCTGATGGAGTGAAAGCATTTTGAATAAAGCCCTGTTGTCATATTTCATTTTCAAAGATGACACTACCTGACAGGAGACCTTGTCTGAAAAGATAAATTAGGGACCGTTAGTCTTTTCTCCGGGGAGCACATATAAAGCCAGACCTTTGATTAGGAATCATCACTGCGATCTGAAATGCCTGTTGCCATTTGCAACACTGCCTCCTAGACTCAGGGTCAGCTTCGACTCAGAAAGATCAATTTCATCCCTGATATTGTCAGGCTAGTGTGGCATTTACTGTAGTTTCTCAGTCATCCACAATACGGGTTGTTTTATCTTATTATCTAAGCGCTACTAAATGAAGCTGTTTGTTCAGTTATACTCTAGACTGAAGAATCATAATATAAATAAAATAATCTTATTTTAATGCTCAGTAAGCTTTAAATAACCTAAATCTTCCAAAAACTCACTCATTTAAAAAACTTTTATGAAGTTATTTAATTCAAAGAAATGTTTTTAAATTTGTTATTGTTTTTATTAATTCCATTATTTATTAAACTGAATAAAATGCTTCCTGCACTTGAGATTGTTCCTTTTAACACATTACAGATGATATAACCAGAATCTCATTTGGACCATATATTCATAATGAAGTCAAGGTATACTGTGGCCCTACAATCTGTTCCCATCAGAGGTCACTTAAGTCACTCAAGTGCGAAGTACAAACACTTGAGGGATTGGTAAATTAATGATTCCAACTCTTGCTCAGGATATAAAAATGTGAAATCATATAAAAACATCACAAAACTATTTAACCATCTTCGAAAATACTACTGAAGACTCTCCTGTGTACTTTGGAGCTAAATCAGCAAAACCAGGAAAAGGTGTATTATGCTTTAACTCACCCCAAAGAAATGTTATCAATAAAGCAGAGAGAGAAGGACAGTAATTCACTTTTTAAAAAATAAATTTGGGCATTGGCAATTTCTTACCTTCGTTTTGCTTATCTGCATTTTTAAAGGATTTTCTGCACTGAGTGTTGACTGTTTTGTATTAAGGAATATCGTGATAGTGATATGTAGATTAATACTAGCCAGCTTTTTGTTACACTTTATCAAAAATAAAACACACCTGGCTCAGACAATGCCATCACAACTAACCTGCTCGGTATGGCCATGATTGAGGTTATCTTTTTTACTGGACAACACAAGTTGTACAACACTGATCTTGCTTCTCGGGCAGGGATGAATAGTTCATTTGCCTGACGATCTCAGCAAAAAGTTCATCCACCATTGATTTACTTTTTGCCGATGTCTCCATAAAAGGGCAGCCCCATTCTTGAGCCAGAGCTCTGCCTTCTGAAGACATAACCTCTCTTTCTGGTTCCAGATCCACTTTATTTCCTACTAGGATTAGTGGGACTTTTTCGTATCTCTTCACTCTGACAATCTGATCTCTCATTGGCTTGATATCCTATTCAAATAATCACAAAGAGAAAGAAAAAAATTATGTTGTTTGCATAACCATAGCAGAAGTATTACAGTATCACAAAAAGCCATCCCTTGGTGAGTATTTAAAGCTCAGTTCCCAACAAAAGCACATACACAGAGAAAAAAAATCTCGATTTAGGACCCTGAAGTAGGAACTAGATCATTTCCACAGGCCGCCTCTGCTGGGTTTTTGTCCAGAACATAAAATGTAAGATGCCCAACTTACCTTAATATCTATATAATCACTTCCCCCACCCCCAGCGTATATTGACTTAAAAAGCAAATTCCCAAATATGATTAATATATTTGTACATAAGGATGTTTAGCCATCTCCCCAAACCTGTCTGCTTGTCATCATTCCTAAGAACACCTGTTATCCTAGCACAGGACTGCAGTATCTATGCATTCCTTGCTATTTAGCAAGACGGCTTGAGAGAAAGTGCTTTAGGTAGGAACAAAAAATACTGTGCAAGGATTAGAAGACCAGAGTGATAATACACTGAAATATTTCATTTTAAATCCAATGGTATGCTTCTATCCTGGTAAAATCGAACACCTTAAAATAGTCCCAAATAAACTATAAACTATTATAACTGTGAGTAACTCTGAGAAGGAAAATGCAGATCGAGTCTGGGTGGAAAAAAAAACCCATTCTTCTCTTTGCCTACATTTGTTTTTACTACTTCATTTTTTGCCCATGAGTATTACTTTTTCTAAGTAATTACAACTGCAAAAGATAAAGGCCTTAGCAATTCTCCAATAGCATCAGTTTGGGGACAGAAAAAGTATCAATGTAATATTGCAGACTAAATACTGGCATCATGATTTTTCATGATGATTTTTCATATTTTATAATTGAAAAGGTTTGCCTTAAGTATAAAATGTGTTTAAATTGAATAGTTACTGTAAACACCAAATAGTCACATGAAGGATGAAGGAATAAAAAAGGGACTATGAAAATTTATTTAAAAATACAGTTATTTGACATGCAATTTGGTTTGATCATGTATTAATTCAAGTCTTCTAAGTGATGCTTCTTTTGCAGTTGTCCTTATGGAAACACAAGTTCAGCTGAGAATCCAAGCTCATGGTCTCAAAAGAGTCTAAGTCTCTGTTGAAATAATGGCATAATTTTTCAGTCCCTATTTATGCCTATAACAGAAGTAGATAAAATGGAAATCTTATGAAACACCCTTCAAAAGACTCCCAGTCTCAAGAGAGTCAGCTGATAGAATAACAAATCTCCTGAGGATCCTTCAGAAAGAAAAGGCCTGTCAAATAGCACCTTTAGTACTTTGGTACATTCTGAGGAAAAATGCTTTTATTGCTTTGGAATTTAAGCCTACATATAATCAACTTTAGTATGGTCTCAATAGCTTTGGTTTATTTACCCAGAACTTTTCTTTAAAAAAATAATCCTTACAGTAGCTAGGTCAGATTACTGGAAAAGTTTACTATAACTCTTTAATTTAAAATACTGAAGAAAGTGGAATTAGCACATTGTATTGGCTAAAGCACTTAACAGTCTCTTAAGTAAGCAACATTAAGTGCATACCTTTAAATGCAGAAAAAAAATTTATCCATTTCCTAAATCAATGGAGGTCAATATAATGGGTCAATACAAGGTTATTTATTTTCAAGGAATAAATAGCAACATTTATTGCATCTCTTAAAATAAAGCTAAACCTTCAGTCTGTCTCCCAGTGAAGGACAGGGCAGATTTTCCTAAGAAATTGGACCATATCCAGTTTGGCCACCCAGCCGGTGCAAGAAATCTGCACTTGTTCAGCGTTCTCAGACTCACATATTTTCTATAAATACAGGCAATGTTACCAAAAACAATTGGGAAGAAAAAGAGACGCATTCTTGAATTTTGTTGGTTATTAATTCTAGGTACTGGCCTTTTCAATTAGTAAGTTCCATTTACTCTGTGCCCCCAAGTTAGCAAGTAAGCAAGCAAGCAAGCAAGTAAAATGTCTGGAAGATAGATCCTGAGTTCTTCATCATGCCGCACTAAGATTTATTGAACCTGGTTGAGAAACTTGGGAGAGAACAGGGAGGAGGAAGAAGGAAGCAGACACAGAGGACTTATCTGTGCAACAGATAATGGGCTCCACATAATTTTCCTTTCAAAGTGTTTTATTTACTCGAGATTATCTGTTAGATGATGTTTTGTTGAGTACGTTAATCAATACTTGTTGAATTGAAGAAGCAACTTCAGAAGGTTACATTCCAGGCTAAATATACACAGGCTGACCTAGTTCTTTTTCACTTTTCTTTGACTTAAAAATAACTTTAAAATATTTGTTGATGCTTGCTATCTCAGACTCACATATTTTCTATAAATACAGGCAATGTTACCAAAAACAATTGGGAAGAAAAAGAGACGCATTCTTGAATTTTGTTGGTTATTAATTCTAGGTACTGGCCTTTTCAATTAGTAAGTTCCATTTACTCTGTGCCCCCAAGTTAGCAAGTAAGCAAGCAAGCAAGCAAGTAAAATGTCTGGAAGATAGATCCTGAGTTCTTCATCATGCCGCACTAAGATTTATTGAACCTGGTTGAGAAACTTGGGAGAGAACAGGGAGGAGGAAGAAGGAAGCAGACACAGAGGACTTATCTGTGCAACAGATAATGGGCTCCACATAATTTTCCTTTCAAAGTGTTTTATTTACTCGAGATTATCTGTTAGATGATGTTTTGTTGAGTACGTTAATCAATACTTGTTGAATTGAAGAAGCAACTTCAGAAGGTTACATTCCAGGCTAAATATACACAGGCTGACCTAGTTCTTTTTCACTTTTCTTTGACTTAAAAATAACTTTAAAATATTTGTTGATGCTTGCTACTTTAGTACTCTCTAGAAACAACCCGTTACTTTCCCATGCCAGGAGTAACTGCAAAAATGCGCCATGTCTAACTTTCAAAAGCAAAACACTGTCATTAACGCACAGCTCAAGCAAACCAGAAGTAGATGCTGGATTACCACACCCCCTTCTAACAAATTACAAGACTTGGTTTGGTTACCTGAAAAGACTGCTGATAAACCAGACTGTAAACCAGGATGAAACCTTGGCCGTTTTTGATGTAGAGATCTCTCATGGAGGCGAACTGCTCAGTTCCTGCGGTGTCCAGAATTTCCAGCACGGAGGGGGAAGAGTCCACTTCGATCTCTATGAGGTAGAAATCTTCAATGGTGGGGTCATATTTCTCAATGAAAGTCCCAGTGACAAACTGCACAGTGAGGGCAGACTTGCCAACCCCTCCGCTCCCTAACACCACCACCTTGTATTCCCTCATGAGTCTCACCTTCACTAACTCCTACCAGAGGGGGGGGAAAATAACACCCCGCTAGCTGCTGTGCGGCTAGCCTAGGCGGAAGGTGGGCGGAAATCTGCGAACTGGGGAGGAGAGTGCAGAGAAGCCGAGGGCCCAACCGGGGAAGAAGAGGAAGTTAAAGAGGGGGAGGGGAGAGAGCTGAGAGCCCGGGTGGGTGGGGATGGGATGGTAATGCCCTTCCTATAGGAGCTGAAGCCCAGGCAGGGGGCGTGGGGAGGAGGGCGAGCCCGGGAGCAGGCCAGCAAGGGTGGGGAGGCCGAGCGTGCCCCCAGGAGGGAGAGGGTGGGGGCCCCCGCGGAGGCGGGCGTCCGAGGAGCCCGCAGCCCGGGGCTGCCCGGCA